TCGATGAGATAAACTTTCCATAGTCTCATGGCGTGTAGAGCTGCAAGCAATTCGTTTTCTCTTGTCGGGTAAGCAGTTTCCGCTAGAGAGAACTTGTGACGCCATATGCTCCGTGTCATCGTCTGCAAGTTGAAAAGGGTAACCACCTATAGCGAAATCACTGGTGTCCATGCTAACAAGGAACGGTCTCGAGAAGTCCGGTTCGAGAGAATGATTGGAGAGGAGGGTCTTGAGCTAGGCGCTAGACTTTCGAGAAAATCCAAGCTTAAACCATGCATATCGATGAGATGAACGCTGAGAGCTGCGAAATCGGGACAGAAGCGCAGGACATAGAGGCATGTTCCTAAATAGGATTGAAGATCCTGCTTGGTCCGAGGACTTGTCCAGCTACGGATGAGCGCTGCCTTCTCAGAATCGATACGAACGCCTCCCTGTCGATAATTTCGCCGAGGCAAGGGATCTCCGTCGCGCAAAATGTGCACTTAGACAGCTTGATAAACAGCTGCTGCTCCTTGCAACGCACAAAAACCTTCTCCAACGTTGCCAATTTATCCTTAATCGAGCCGGTTGGAGTATGAACGAAAATATCATCGAAGTAGTGACAAAAGTCCTGTTGGTCTGTGGAGATGCGCCGAACTAGGCGATTGAAGCATGAAGGATTGCTAGGTACTCCAATTGGAGTAACGAGATATTTGTAGAAGCCGTCGGGCGTTGCAAAGGCAGTGTAGGGAATGGAGGCTTCGGGCAATCGGACCTGGTAGAAGCCCAAGAGTAGGTCCATGACTGAGGGACAGAAGTCTATTTACCTGTTCCACTCGATGCCCAAGTCGTGGAAACATGATCTTCGCATCTGGAAAGGCCAGCGGAAGTATATCCCGTATGAAGACCTCAAGCAGAGCATAGAAGGCAAGGTCCGAGACCTCCAAGCTCAAGAGCGCTACACCCTGGACAAGGGCAAGCCGGAGACCTCCGCAACCAAGGGTGAGCAAGCTCTAGATGCTGCTGGACCGCCTGCGTTCATGATCGAGACAACGCTAATATTTGCTCGTACTGTGATCGCCCACGGCACAACATTCGTCAGTGTCGCGACCAGCAAAAAGATCTGCGAGATGGCCGAGTGAAGGCTGGGACAGTCCTTCCAGTCAACGTCGCCTTCAAGGGAAATTCGAAGCGCGACTATCCCTACCGTAACTCAAACAACGGGAAAAAAGGACGCAGCAACAAGGGCAACGGCAATCGCGAATCCAAGGGCAACAACGGCAACAATAAGAACAAGCAAGGGCTCGAAGGCAAGAATCGTGGTCAAGACCGCTACAAGGATCGTCCGTTGGAGTCTGACAATGACGACGACGACGAAGATAGCGATTCAGACAACAGCCACAAAGTGTCTCGCCAAGAGCGCCGCGAGTCAGTTCGCATTGCAGTGGTTACTACAATCAGCCCTACGTTCAGCCTCACTGCTCAAGCCAAGGTTGAACCCGACCCCATCTGGACGATCGACTCTGGGTGCACGCGCCATGTGACCGATGAAGCACAGTGGTTCGCTGACATCACTGTTGGTGGTGGTTCGATTACAGTTGGTGGCAACAACCAAATCCCTATCGAAGGCATTGGACGCGTTGAACTGGAAGTCATTGACTCCAAGGGCAAGATACAGAAGCTCAGCCTTGATGGCGTCCTGTATGCTCCCCAGCTCCAATTCAGCCTGCTGCCAGTCCCTGCTGCCGTGAAGCACGACTTTCGTTTCAACTTCGATCGGAAACAGTGTGCTGTGCAAACTGATCAACGGTTTAAGATCAAGGCTCTCATGGCTACCAACTCGGATCTGTACCAGTTCCATGCGAAGCCCATGACGCATCCAGCGGCGCTTGTCGCCTCAGGTAAGCAACGTCCCTTTCTGCTATTACACAAACGCCTTGCCATCCTAACGTTCGTGTCTTGAATGACCTATCTAGGAGCCAAGCCATACATGGACTCGATGGATCTACACCTTTAGGTCCCACAACAGATTTTTTCTGTGTAGCTTGCACGTTAGCGAAGTCAATATTGTTTACCGTTTAACTCTAATGGAGTTGTTAAACGCGCCACCTCTCCCTTGTCAAAAGTGCATTCAGATATCTGTGGTCCACTACCTGTGTCTAGCCTTACCGGTTGTCGCTACTTCTTGATCTTCATTGATGACTTCTCTCGATTCATGTTCACCTATCCAGTTAAGCAACTTTATGAGTGCTACGAAGATTTCAGGAAGAAAGCCCTGAACATTTTTAGGCAAGACATCTCTGTCATTGAATACACATTCAGCGTTGAAGAAGATGTGACTCAGAGCAATTTTGAAGTTCAGAGACTTCAAGCAGATAATGCGAAATAATACGAGAAGCTCGGTCGCATCATCTTTAAGAAGTATGGGACTCACGCTCAATTTACCAATGCATATACTCCTCAGCAAAACGGAGTTGCTGAACGACGCATGCGCACCATCATGGAGCGTGATCGAGCCCTTCTACTTGACGGCAAACTACCCAAGCAGTTGTGGGCAGAGTGT